TTTTACTTCAACAAGAATTCAAATTATCCAAGTCGGAAGAGACTGCAATATGCAGAATATGTGCATTTATTATAAAAATTTGTATAAGGCCGTGGTCTATGGCTGACCATTCATGTGAAGCGCCACTAAACGATATGCACTTAATAAGGACTCTATATGAATATAAAAATGATGATAAAATTATTGCAGATTCGTGTTTAAAAAAATTTTTAAATCATTTGTGGTACTTTAATCAAGAATGTATTGTTTTTCCAATATTTGATAATAGAGTTTCGTTAGAAACCCGAAATAAAATGGCAAAAATTATTTTAAATAATTTATCTACTTACCCATCAGATCAAAGCGATTTTGGTCCAAAAAAATATTTTTTAAAAATAGATAATGTGGAGACGTTTCTGAAACAAGAGTTTTTTACAGATATGCTTGAACAAAGTTCGGGATATTTTTTTATAAGATTTAATATCGATACAGAATTTTTGAAATTAGACTCCTCGAATTGGGAAGGTGATAAGTATTACCAAGAAGCGAAAAAAATAGTTAAATCAATCCGTGTTGTAAATGACACTGCTGAAAGGGGTGTGAAATTGATGGAGGAGTTCAATGATAAACTAACGAAAAATGAAGCACAAAAACAATTTATACTTCAAGTAAATTGCAATAAAATATATAGAACGGATTGCTAAATTACTAATTTATACTTAACATGTTTTAGGTCGTTCAGAAATATCGAAAAGTTTTTCCAGATCACAAAAAAAAATCGATGACAGCAACATTCTAATTTAAATGTCAATTATGTAAAGAAATACTAGTACTTTCATTGACACCTTAGTATGCTTATTTATAAAATGCATTTTTTTAAACTTATATTATAGAGTATATTTTATAATCTTTTTATGATTTATTTTGTATATATTATAATCAGTTGTCCCTGTAAACGTAAATACTTTTATAATTGTTTGATGTACCGAACTATTCAAATATTTTTTTGTTTTCGTCCTGGCGAGGAAAAAAATCAACCTACGAGAATTTGTAAAGATACAATTTATATAGAAAATATTAAGGTCTATAATTTTTATTCTATACAATTTTTCGTTTTGAGCTTTTGTTGTTGAGATATTAGCCAAAAACTAAAAAACCACCCTATTCAGTGGATTTTCAACCCTCATTCGGCACCCGAAGGGGGAAAGTAAATCTTACGAAACTCAACAAAAATCATTATTATCTAAAAATAAACAAAATTAGGGGGTGCCGCTATGTTTTGTTCAATTTTTTTTTTAGCCTTAGTAGATAAAGACCAGCCTAGTGTTTATATTTATTAATTATTTAATTCAGCAATAATAAAAATTTGTGTTGTTATTTTAATTATTTCTTTATATTTATTAAGTTAAACAATCCTATTTTGGATAAACAAAAAAATATTTTGCATTTAACAAATTCTAAATTGTATAGGAAATTTTTGTTGATAACACTAGTTTACAAATAAAAAAAAAATTTCTGACCTATGACTTATGATAGTCATTTTTTATGTAAAATCGTCCACTGAGTCCGAAAATGAAGTCTAAAATACAAAAAGTAGAACAGTTTTTTAGTTATTGCGAAATTAGCGTTTTTCGTGTACCGCGAAAAAACGTTTTCATTATATTCTAAATATCTTTAATTGCATTCAACTGATTTTCATTTTTTTTACATAAAATTAAACAATATTAAATTACCTATAACTTTTATATTAAATAATTTTTTATTTGACTTTTTTGTCGTTTGCTATCTACGAATTTACCACTGAATTTTTATCATTTTTTTAAAATATCAGAAAAAATTCAGAGTTTTACGTAAAATACAACAATAAAAAATAAATTTATCAACAATAATTTCAATAGACGTTATACTCTAATACATAACAAAGAAAATGATATATTATTTTGTAAAATTGATAAAAAAATGAAGAAGTTATGCGCGATTGAAAAATAAAACTAATTTCCTAATATCAGAGTTTTCTAATTCGATGCTTTAATTTTGTATAATATAGAAAAATTACTCACAATATTACTTTTCAAAACAAAATTACGATTTTTTAAATAACTTAAGGTTATTTCCTTCAATATGAAATTTTGAATTACGAACCAAAAAACTTCGCCTTGGCCTCACTGCTCATCATTAATTGGTAGCACTGAACATTTTGTCATTTGAAATAAAACGGATAAATTTATTTTGGTCATAGAAGCGTTCTATATTCTATTAATATATTCATTTTTTCTATGATATATAAATAATCCATATAACTATTTTACGTTTATTCTTAATAAAGATAAAAATGAGTTCAAATAAACGTCAATATAAGTGTAAGAATAACCCCAATAAATTTTGTTATGTGTGTGGCGAATATATTTTTGTTACACCCCCGAATTTTACTAGTACATTGCAATCTGCGTATCGTCTTTACTTTTATATTTCTCCAGAGAACTTAGGTGAATCGTGGACGCCAAATGTCTTATGTAACACGTGCAAAACTGGATTAACAATGTGGATGACAGGCGCAAAGTAAAAAAAAATATATATTTTTGAAATTTTTTACATTATTTATGTATAAAATAACTAAAATCTTAAAAATTTTTATTCACTTTAGACGATACTTATCATTTGATGTACCAACAATTTGGCGACAACCAATGTGTCACGAAGTTGATTGCTACTTCTGCTTGACTAAAATAAAGCAACATGGACGTCATAAAACAGTTGAATATGCACATGTAAACTCCATGTCAAAACCTGTTCCACATTCACTCTCAGTTAAATATCCTGTTTGCCCCAAAAAGAATATAGTGAATCGCCAGAATCAAGTAATCATGCCGAATGTAAGACTGACATTAGTTTTAAACTTGAAAAAATTCCGAAGCTTTTTACCCAAACTGAACTTAATGATTTAATAAGAGATTTAAAACTCTCAAAGGAAAAATCAGAGTTATTGGCATCAAGATTGCAAGAACGAAATTTATTAAAATCACAAGTAAAAGTTACATTTTACAGAAGTCGTCAGAAATATTATGCTCAATATTATATAAAAAAAAACAATGTTTGTTATTGTAACGACATTTACGGTTTGTTTAAAGAATTTGGTGAGCCATATGATCCAACCGAATGGCGTTTGTTTATTGATAGCAATTAAACTAAGCCTGAAAGCAGTTTTACTGCACCAAGGAAACATCAAACCTTCAATTCCATTAGCGCATGCTGTAAATATGAAATAATCGTATGAATCAATGGCTATATTACTTTCTCTAATCAACTACAATCAACACAATTGGAAAATTTGTGCAGACCTTAAAGTCATTGCAATGGTAACTGGCTTGCAACAAGGATACACAAAATACATGTGTTTTTTGTGTACATGGGATAGTCGAGCACGTCAAGAACATTACACACGAAAATATTGGCCAGATCGAGTTAACTTAACAGTGGGCAAAGAAAATGTCAAATTCAATCCTCTTGTTAATAAAAATAGAATAATCCTGCCACCTTTACATATTAAACTTGGACTTTTTAAAAATTTTGTTAAAGCTTTAAATAAAAATGGAAATTCATTTACTTATTTGAAAACTGTGTTTCCACATTTGTCTGATGCAAAAATCAAAGAAGGTATTTTCATAGGACCACAAATAAAAAAACTAATGAACGACTCCAATTTTGTGTTAACTTTATCAAAAGACGAGGCTTTAGCATGGAACTCATTTCGTTTGGTTGTAAATTCATTTTTAGGAAAATTCAAAAGTTTAAATTATAGAGAAATAGTAGACGATTTATTGATAAACTATTCAAAAATAGGTAAGCAGTACATTTTATAATTTTATTATTTTCTGAATAAAAGATACATGTATATTTTTTAATTTTATCGGGAATAGGGGTGAAAATGTCATTGAAAATACATTTTTTACATGCACATNTAGGGGTTAAAATGTCATTAAAAATAGAATTTTTTCATGCACACTTAGATTTTTTTCCTGAAAATCTTGGAAATGAAAGCGATGAGCATGGTGAACGTTTTCATCAACAAATAAATGATATAGAACGTCGTTACCAAGGGTTTTGGGATGAAGCAATGATGGGTGACTATTGTTGGTTTCTTATAAGAGAAAGCAATGAAACATACAAAAGAAATATTAAGACTAATACGTCCTATTTTTAGTTCAATAAAAATTATTCTTTGGTTATCATAAAACTAATTACAAAAAATATCATAGCGAAAATTATAATTGTTTTCCTATTTGTAAAACTTAATTATTTATTTTATTTATTATATATTAAATTTACTATATTTAAAATGATTTTCTAAATCCATGCTAAAACAATTTCAATTTTCTTAATTCTATAGAAAATTACTTTATATTTTTAGAGAATTATCATTTTTTTTTAAATACGAAAATTTATCACAACCCCACCAAACAGTAAAATTAACTCAATTTAAAAATATCCCAATAAAACTATATGAAATAACCTTAAGTTATTTAAAAAATCGTAATTTTGTTTTGAAAAGTAATATTGTTAGTAATTTTTCTATATTATACAAAATTAAAGCATCGAATTAGAAAACTCTGATATTAGGAAATTAGTTTTATTTTTCAATCGCGCATAACTTCTTCATTTTTTTATCAATTTTACAAAATAATATATCATTTTCTTTGTTATGTATTAGAGTATAACGTCTATTGAAATTATTGTTGATAAATTTATTTTTTATTGTTGTATTTTACGTAAAACTCTGAATTTTTTCTGATATTTTAAAAAAATGATAAAAATTCAGTGGTAAATTCGTAGATAGCAAACGACAAAAAAGTCAAATAAAAAATTATTTAATATAAAAGTTATAGGTAATTTAATATTGTTTAATTTTATGTAAAAAAAATGAAAATCAGTTGAATGCAATTAAAGATATTTAGAATATAATGAAAACGTTTTTTTGCGGTACACGAAAAACGCTAATTTCGCAATAACTAAAAAACTGTTCTACTTTTTGTATTTTAGACTTCATTTTCGGACTCAGTGGACGATTTTACATAAAAAATGACTATCATAAGTCATAGGTCAGAAATTTTTTTTTTATTTGTAAACTAGTGTTATTAGTTGCTTCTATTTTAAGCCGTACGGCTAAGTTCTGTTCCCCATTTATATTTGGGATTTTTTAGAACAGCCCTGGCGGCAACATTTGGTGACCTCGACGTGATAGTGGTGCATTTTAAGTTGCGTCACGCACAGATAAGGGGCAAAATTTAGCTAATCTTATTTAAACAAAATATTTTATTAATTCATTTAATTATATAATTAGATCATTATATATACATATAATAATAATAATAAAAAAAAAAGTAACAATAATAAAGTAGTTAAACTATAATTTTTATTTAAGAATATCTATTTATTTTCTTTCAAATTACTTAGTTCATTATTACCTGTATTATTCACTAAATTTGTATTTTTTATTTGTGAAATAAGTAATTTGTACATTCCTTTGCTGTAAAGTGTGTGGTAAAAAATATTCTGGTGGCATAGCGGTAAGTTGTTAGTTATAAGTTTAATATTAGGTAGCCATTCGCCCACACTTAGTATTTATTTCATTTAGTATTTGTTTATTTCATTATGCAAGATCCATCTACACCTACCCTTTTGTTACCACCTGCACCTCCATCATCTGCACTTCGGCGACTCATTCGTAGAAGGGCTTCTACCAAAGCTTCTATTTCTGTTATTCAAAAGTTTGTTGAGAGATATGATCCAGCCGTTCACAGCCTTCGACAAATCAAGACAAGATTAAATTCATTGCAAGTACACTGGTCTACATTCATAGAAACCCATAATGAAATATCTGACTTAGAACAGGGCTTCAAAGAAGAGAATGAGTATTTACTGCTCGAAGATCAAATCTGTACTTTAAAGGCCATTATGGAGGACTTATTGGACAAATCTGCGGGCACTGAAGCCTTAAGTACTTCTAATTCAACACAAGCATCTCACATTGAATCTATGAGACTCCCTGCAATTGATCTACCAAAGTTTAGTGGAGATCTTTGCGATTGGCCAGATTTTATCAATACATTTAATGCTTTGTTTCGCGATAATTTAAAAATAACTGATGTACAACGATTTCATTATTTATTAGTTAAGTCAAGCTTAACTGGAACTGCTTCAGATGTCATTAAAAACTACTCAATCACTTCTGCCAACTATCAAGAAGCTTATTCTGAATTAGTCAGACAGTATGAAAACAAAGGGCTCACTATACAAACTCACATAAGAGCATTACTTCATTCTCCAAAAGTGCATCAAGCTTCAGCTGTAGAGTTATGGAAATTGCATCACCATATTGCTTCACATGCTCGTGCACTAAAAGCACTCGAGCAGCCAGTTCAGCATTGGGATGCCTGGCTAGTAACTCTTATTTGTAGTCAGTTAGATGCCACTACTGCCGGCGAATGGCAACTGCAACAAACAAATAATGAATTGCCCACTTATGCAGCAATAGAATCATTTTTAGCAAAACGTGTTTCTGCCTATGAAGTTGGTGCTATTTCTAATTATATAGAAAAGAGTATTCGACTAAAAATATGAGTGTCAATAACAAGACTTTCTTTACTCGTCCTAGTGAGCAAAATTCAATGAAGTGTCCACTTTGTACAGGTGCCCACCGCATATATGCATGTGAAAAATTTACTCAGATGCCAATTTCTGAACGACAAGCCACAGTTATGCGTTTAAAGTTGTGCTTTAATTGTTTAAATTTGGGTCATCAAGTAAAATCTTGTAAATATCCTAGTTGTCCGAAATATAATGAGCGACATAATTCAAAACTGCACGAGGAATCTGTATCTTCCGTTACCAACGAAGATTACCATAATGAGCAAACTAACATTCATGGGGGCTCTGCGGTTCTTTATACTAAAAGTGTGGGTATTGCTAAAAATCAAAGTAGTTTAATGTTAGCTACTGTCTTGATTTATGTGAATGATAGTGTGGGTCAACGTCATTTATGTCGTGCCGTTCTAGACTCGGGATCTCAATTGAATTTCATAACTCAGTCCTGCGCCAAGAAGCTTAACTTATCTTTGTCTGACCATACATTTAATATTGTTGGAGTTTCATCTATGTCATCGACAGCCAAACGTCTCAATACAACAACAATTTTTTCTAGACTTGGCAACTACCAATATAATGTTAATTTTTACTCAGTACCAATAATTGTCAACGCCTTACCGTCACAGTATGTTAATAGGAATTCAGTTATTATACCTGATCATATTAAGTGCCATTTGGCAGACCCACAATTTCACCAGCCAGGGCCCATTGATATATTAACAGGAGCGGATGTATTTTTTGACATATGGCTTGGTGAAAAATATTCGCTTCCTCACAGTACTATACTTCATCAAACCAAATTTGGTTGGGTAGTTGCATGGAAATGGCCTGGTATGACCACAACTTCATTACAATCTAATTCATGTATGCTTAATGAACCTGCCTGTTTATTTTCAACTACTAAGTTCGCTCAGCGCACCCAAGAAGAAAAGGCAGCTGAGGAGCATTTCAGCACAACACATAGTCGTAATGCTGATGGTCGGTTTGTGGTAAGGCTCCTATTCATGCAGAGTCCATCGCTTTTGGGTGATTCTTTTAGCATGGCACAGAGACAGTTTTTTAATTTAGAACGCCGATTAATTAAAAATCCTACCCTAGCTAAACAATATGATGATTTTATGAAGAAATATTTAGTTATGGGACACATGGAACCCGCTAAACCTATTAATGATGAACCTGTTTATTACTTGCCCCATCATGCAGTCTTTAAATATAATAGTACAACCACCAAAATTAGGGTAGTCTTTGATGGTTCAGCTACTACTACATCAGGGTTATCTTTAAATGATATACTATTAAAGGGACCAAAGGTTCAATCTAACATCTTTCATATATTATTACGTTTTCGTTTGCATCCTATTGCTATCACAGCAGATGTGGCTAAAATGTACAGGCAGATTTTGTTACATAATAGTGATTGTAACTTACAGAGGATACTTTATCGTTCCCAACCCGTTGAACCATTACATGAATTTAAACTTCGAACTATTACTTATGGTACAAAAAGTGCTTCATTCTTAGCCACGCGCTGTCTCACTCAAA